TACTTAGTTCTATAGTTCTCTGAATTACTATTTAGTTCTATAGTTCTCTGAATTACTACTTAGTTCTATAGTTCCCTGAATTACTACTTAGTTCTATAGTTCCCTGAATTACTACTTAGTTCTATAGTTCTCTGAATTACTACTTAGTTCTATAGTTCCCTGAATTACTACTTAGTTCTATCGTTCTCTGAATTACTACTAAGTTCTATAGTTCTCTGAATTACTACTTAGTTCTATAGTTCTCTGAATTACTACTTAGTTCTATAGTTCTCTGAATTACTACTTAGAGTTTATAACATTCTAATGTAACTGTTGTTTTTTCGTACAATAACGTTTCTCTTCTCTCAAATGTCTTGCTCCAAATATGAAAGGCTTAATTAGGACACATCTTAATAAAAAAGCAAGAAGTGTAATCCGATTATACATATATATTCATGTTAAAATTATCATAACGAGGAATATGGATACTACAGTGTTAACTGTTCGATTATTTTGGCAATTAAGGTTATTAACAAATATTGGAATGACCTTATTATTTAACAAAAGTCAAATAAAGACGCTGCACAAATCAAAAGGACCCCCAGGGCACAGGCTATAATGTGGGATATAAAATGTGCCCTGGGTTTTGGAGGTGACTGCGGAAGTAGGGCCCACATTGCGGTGGGGATACAGGTTTGGATTTGCTGTTTTTAACGCAGTCCTTCTTCTGATTTTGTATTGCTTGACTATTTGAGTATTGATTTTCTATACATATATATATAAGAATGATGTTAGAAAACAATTTAACACAAAAATACGATACCCTATAATCCAAGCGCTTTCGAAAGCTGGTTATTTCTTCATCAGGGGCAAACAGTACGATAGAATCAGAACTCAAACAATAAAGGTCATCCTCTGAAACTTAAAGGCCTAAAAGTAGTGAACCCCTTTAGTGCGTGTTTTACCACAATACATTTGTTTTAAAACAAAGGTATTAACTTTTGATCAAAAATAAGTTAGATAGGTATGATCATAAAAGCAAACATACACTATTGAAGTTGATCCCATATAATAAATGAACTAGGACTACTAACTAATCTATATTGTTGAAGTTGATCCCATATTATAAATGAACTAGGACTACTAACTAATCTACATTATTGAAGTTGATCCCATATAATAAATGAAATAGGACTACTAACTAATCTACATTGTTGAAATTGATCTCATACAATAAATTAACTAAGACTACTCTACATTGTTGAAGTTAATCCCATATAATAAATGAACTAGAAATACTAACTACACTGCATTATTGAAGTTCATCCTATATAATAAATTAACTAAGACTACTAACTACTCTACATTGTTGAAGTTGATACCATATAATAAATTAACTAGAACTAATAACTGCTCTACATTGTTGAAGTTGATCCCATATAATAACTTAACTAGATCTACTAACTGTCATAAATCAAATAACATGAAAACCAAAACCTAAAATAATGATTCAAGTTCATCGAATCTCCGTTTTTCGCTATTAACAATCTTCTCGTCTGTAATCTCAAATAACTTGCTTGTAAATCTCAAGCTGCTGCATATGACAAACAGAGCCAAGGTATTTACGTCATACGAATTTGCAACGCAAAATCGTGGGTTTGATTCCGAGTTGAACAAAACGTAAATATCCCATTGCGTAGCTTTCCACTAAAAGGACAAGAACCATAGATTGATAAAAATAAAAGTATGTTTGTTTTTACGAATATATCTGGGTTATCTACGCCTCACCCACTGCACTGATTGACCCCAGAATTTTATCGTTATAAGCCTTAAAGCTTCCCCAATGCCAACCGGGCGGGGAGACAAAAAATAAATAAACGTGTTTAAGGATATTGCGCACTTACTTTTATTTTCTTCAAGTTATTATATTCCCTATCACATTTTATGTTATCTCAAGTATAATGTTAATATTTACAGAATGCATAGTACTGTATTGCTATACTACACCTGACACAATATTCGGCTGTAGTATAGGAGGCAATAGAAAAAAAAATATAATTTTGATATTTTTCAGTGTTTTATAAGTAACAGTAAGCCTACTTCTTCTTTCAAAAAATAAAGAAAAACCACATATCCTATGTGTTTCACAAAGATGAAAAACTCTTTATGCTTTGAATTCTTAAAAAAAAGAAATGAAGTCGCCATCTGTTGGATTGAATAAAAACTAAATTCGCAAATGTTGATGTAGGTTTACATTCCCACGGTGGATCAGTACTCAGTAGTATGTTTACGGACTTCAGTTGTTAAAATTCTGTCTTTGATTCCCGTGATGGACAGAGCGCAGAAAGCCCACTGTATAGCTTTGCGCTAAAACAATAACAACAACATAAGTAGATTTATAATGTAAGACACTTCTAAATCAATGGAACATCTTTTTTAAATTTTTTATGGTTATATTCTACATTTATTCGGCTTGTTGCACGAGCTATGCAACAGTTATCAACAGATATATGGCCAGAAAAATAAACCTAAATATATTAACATTTTATAACTGTTTGTCTACAGTTTGACACTTACCGCTTGTCCTCTGATATCGTAACGTCGAGGACACACAATACGCTATACAGATGTGTAGTAAAACAGAGAAACTAAGAGCACAGTACCACTTATCCCGTTATTTCAGCAGCTCAAATTTTTGCCATTACAATTGACGTTCTCAGAAATGGAACATACAACAACAAAAGAAAAACATTGTTTTGGAACCACTTATTTACGCCTAGAAAAATAGAATACACTTAGAGCAAACAATATAGTTAATTTTGTCTACCCCTGTATTACGTTATGGTATTATCAAATACTTAGATAGGTATGATTATAATTTTCCTATCAGCAAATGAACTGCATCCATCATTTCTTCAAACCAGTTTCTTGTTGTTGTTTTTTTATTTTATTACAGTTGATTTCTATATATTTTGATATTGGTCTCTTTTCTTTTCCCCCAAGTGAAATATGGAAATACTTTAGAATATAATTCATCTAATCTTTTTGAAAAGTTGTGTGAAAATTTCTTCAGTCTACAATTAGTAAGAATATGCATACACAATCGAACAAGCATAACACAGTGTTATTACATTAGTTTCAAATTGCCAACCTAGCCTCTACTTTTGTCCAGTTTTGTTCAATTTTTGTGGATATAAAAGGGCAAGTGACCTTTTTCAAGGACATTTGCATCTAAGATCAGGCAGAGCGTGGCCGTATAGGTAACATGCCGGACTGTGAATCGAAGGTCCAAGTTTCAGCCGACGGAGCGTTACAATCGTTATTGTCAGTTCCACGTTTGTCTCATAAAGTGTCATTCAGCTTGCAAATGTCAAATACGTCCGATCCCTTGGCAGATCTTTCGGTTTTGAAATCTTTCCTAAATTTAATTTTAGTGAAGGAAACCGGGGATGTTTAGAAATATCTATTTCTCTTCATCCCGCCCTTCAATGGCCAATTCTGAGAGTAATGGAGTGGGACTATTAAAATTTGTACATTAATAGGTTTGGAGTAATTTGTACATTAATAGGTTTGGACTAATTTGTACATTAATAG